AAATCATAAAAACTATAATAATAAAAGTTGTTCCTTTTAATAAATTCTATTAAATTCTATTTTATCAGAATAAAATATTTAAAAAATAACAAATTAATTAAGAATAAGTAACTAATTTTTTTAAGAAAACCTAAGCCCAAAGAGGCTAGTTAATAAAAAAAAAGAAAGCCAGCTAACTTCTGCTTATTTTTTTAAAAAAATTGTAAAATGATAATTAACAAAATTAAACAATTTAATCAAAGTGCAATGTATAGACATATTGCAAGATTTATTAATATGTTTTAAACTTTTAATATTAAAATATAAAAAATATTTAGCAAAACTAAAAGATTTTTAAAGTTAGTATAATGCTGCAACTTTTATTATTCTAGTATAATTCAAACTTTATTTATACTATATTAATTAATATTGTCTAAAGTAATTCTATATACCAAAATATTAAGTCTATTTAAGATATTCAAAATTTATAAAATGATTGATATTTTGATTCAAAATATAAAGAATTGATATTCGATATGAAATAGAAAAAATTTAAACTTTTGACCTATTAGACATAAAATTATTATACTGTATAATATGCATGCCTAATTCTCAAATATTCTAAAATTCATGACTAGATTTATTAGTAAAGCATAATATAGTATTATAGATTGTTCAAAGTTTGAAGGGCTACTTTTATTAATTCAGTATGTTAAATTCATTTGATCTACTATCTATAAAAAAGATATTAAACAATGTTATAATACCAATATAGATAATTGATTTTTAAAATCTCAAATTTATAATTACCTTGATAATTATAATAACTATTATAATTGGATTCAATATATATTTGCTTATCATCAGTTTTTATATTTTGTAGTTTTTTATCAGATTCGGATGATTCAAATAATTCACTATTAAATGAAATCAAACTACTTTTATATTGGCTTCAATGTATATTTGCATATAATCATTTTTTATATTTTGTAGTTTTCTATCAGATTCATGTTATCACTTCATCGTCCGCTTTTACCTCACCATTCTAATTGAGATATCCCTAACAGCATCATCTGTAGTTGCACCATCCCATTATCACCCTATCAATATTAAAACCTTCGTTTCATAGTGTCATATTGTCTCAATAGGCCTCCGATAGTTATAAACAACTCCCTTCGTGTCTCTAAATTTATCTTTATCTCCCCGTACACCGTTGGAGTAAATTGGCCTTTATCCACATAATCTTACTAAGCTCTCCCAACAACGGTTACACTATTCATTCGTATTTGAACTCAAGGGTGAGTTGAGTTTTTTATTTAAACCGAATTTTAGTGCTTAAATGCTTTTTACATTGTACTAATACACTACGAATTTTTCTACCATTACGATCATATCTGCTATTTCTAGCAGATCTGCAGTTTGTTCGTTCTAGCCGATTTTGGCTAGATCGACCTAAACCACTTCGACATTAAACTTGACGAAATTTTCCTCTCATAACGTCCTCTGCGATAGGACGGAGTATCATATATTTAATTTGATCTTTGCTTCCTTTCAGTTCATAAAAACCCAGTATCGCACCCCACGTGATTTTTGACCAATAAAATCATAATTTAGTGTAGCTTGACTCAATCATGAAAATTCAAAACCAACGCTTTTTTTGTCAAAAATCGCTTATTTCTCAAGAATTTTTATAAGAAACTACAATACTTTTCGTGCGCTAAAAAGGTTTTCCTTGAGCGATATTACTATCTATTTGTCTTTATCCAAATCCTAATCTAGACATTGATCCAAGCATAAATGAACTTAAAAGAGTTTAATTTTTTGATGGCAATACTAGGTAGACATAGGGACAGTGTAATCACATGGTAACATATGAAACAAAACAAAATTTGGAATTATTATAGGTGATGCTTTATCCTTTTGTTGATTCGTCTTTTTTTTTAATCTTATGAATATATATGTAATAATCATAAAATGGTAAAATAAAGGTGTTTACTCAAACATCGCAATCAATATTTTAATTTAATATTTGAGATTAACACAATCATGAATTAATTGCATAGAGTGAAATATGTGGGAATAATTCAATTATATTATTACTCATACTATTGTTGTCAACAATACTCTAGTCAAATATAGCTATAATGGTTGTTACGAAAACATTACAAATTTTACATCATCAACCTACCATCTACCATTATATATCATTAACCTCACGGTAGCTACTGGTATCTGCCTGTAGCTACCAGTGGTAGACAGCTACTGGTAGCTACCAACTTACATCACTAGCTAAATATTATAGTTAAAAGCATGGCATATATAGTTATTCCTCTATATAGTCACATCCCATATAATTATATCATATGTAATCACATTATGTTTAGACCAAACTACAGTTTAATTTATAAACATACTTATATATAAGCACAACTCCTTTATAAGCACATTTGAAAAAAATTACTATGTGCCCAATTGTGTGATTGTATGGAAGGATGATTGTAATAAAATTTTGCAAGAATTTTTATTAGGAGCCAAAAGGCGTTTTATTAGTAAAATTTTGAGCTATTGGTATTTTTAAATTTTACATAACACCTGATCTTTACATTACACTGCAGCTGTATAAATTAATTGGAAAAAGTTATTGTGATGTTGAACACTAGTGGTGTCATTTAATAAAACCGTATTTATGTAAATTACTAAGCATATTTATTCCACTTTGACTACCTAATTTAGCAGATTTCATATAATAAGTATATGCCTTATTTTGATCTTTTTCGACACCAATTCCTTCCTGATAAAATTGACCAAGATTAAATGCTCCACCAGCATGTCCCATATCAGCAGATTTTTGAAAATAAATAAATGCTTTATGTTCATCATCTTCAACACCAATTCCATATAAATAACAAAAGCCAACACTAAATATTCCATCGACATCACCCATATCGGCAGATTTTTGATAAAAAATGAATGCATTATTTTCATCTTCCTCAACTCCACTTCCATTTTGATAACAGACACCAGCATAATATGCACCACAGGCATTACCCATATCAGAAGATTTTTGAAAATAAATGAATGCCTTATGTTCATCCTTTTCAACTCCAATTCCAATGAAATAACAGACACCAATAGCATATGTTCCATCAGCGTGTCCCATTTCTGCAGATTTTTGAAAATAAATGAATGCTTTATGTTCATTCTTTTCAACTCCAGTTCCATATCGGTAACAATTACCAATACAATATGTTGCATCAGCATCACCCATATCAGCAGATTTTTGATAATGAATGAATGCTTTATGTTCATCCTTTTCAACTCCAGTTCCATATTGGTAACAAATAGCAACAGATTTTATTCCTCTAGTATAACCCATATCAGCAGATTTTTGAAAATAAATGAATGCCTCATATTCATCCTTTTTGACTCCAATTCCATAGCAATAACAATGACCAACATTATAATTTCCACCAGCATGACCCATATTAGCAGATTTTTTATAATAATTAAATGCTTCTTGTTCATCTTTTTCAACTCCAAATCCATTTTTATAACAACAACCAACTTGATATAATCCATTATCATTGCCCATATCAGCAGATTTTTTGAAATAAATAAATGCTTTATCTTCATCTTTTTCAACGCCAATTCCTTCTAAATAACACGTACCAACATTGAATGTTCCATTAGCATGATCCATATCAGCAGATTTTTTATAATAAATAAATGCCTTATTTTCATCCTTTTCAATCCCAATTCCACTAAAATAACAGACACCAACAGCGAATATTCCTTCAACAAAATCCATATCAGCAGATTTTTGATAATTGATAAATGCTTTATATCCGTCCCTTTCAACTCCAATTCCATTTTGATAACATTGACCAACATTGTATAACCCCTCAGCACTATTCATATCTGCAGATTTTTGATAATTAATAAATCCTTTTTTTTCATTTTTTTCAATACCAATTCCATTTAGATAAAGATAACCAACGCTATTCGCCCCAAGGGCATGACCCATATCAGCAGCTCTTTGATAATAGGTGAGTGCCTTAGAATCATTTTTTTCAACCCCAATTCCATCTTTATAACAATGACCGACATTATATAATCCATCAACACATTCCATATCAGCAGATTTTTTATAATAAATAAATGCCTTATCTTCGTCTTTTTTAACGCCAATTCCTTCTTCATAACAATGCCCAAGATTGCTCATTGCTATAGCATTCCCCATTTCTGCAGATTTTTGATAGTAAATGAATGCATTGCGTGCATCTTTTTCAAGTTCAATACCATGATGATACAAATAGCCAAGATTAAATACTTTATCGGCAATTTCAATTTCAGCAGATTTTCTAACTCCTGTCTCATTCAGATAACATTCATCAGCATAACTTAACCCACTATCTTTATCATTTTCAATAACTTGCATTATTAGGAGTGAGTTATTCTCTTGTTCACCTTGGTTACCTTTACAGTAATTATAGTTTATAATCAGTAAAAGATTTATTAAAATAAGGTTAGTTAAGATTAAAAAAAGTTGATTACATCGCGAAAATAACAATTACCGTTACGATCAGCAGTAATATTTGTAGATGATAAAGAATCAAACAATCTGCTTCTATAAATTGCTTCAGGATTGATTTTGAAGTGAGAAGGTTCCAATGCATCAGATATTAAAAGATTTTCAAAAGTTTCATCAGCCTTCATTATTTGTGCGATTATTTCACTTGACTTATCATTGTTCCATGAATTTATAGTATCACATATTTCTTTAGCAGTAGGCCTTTTATCTGGCTGTGCATTCCAACATTTAACAATTAATTTGAAAACTAATTTTGGCACATATTTTGGAATACTTGGACGCAAACCACTATAATAAATCTTACGTTGCAAATCAATGTCATGTGGTATATCATTAAATGCTAGAAATCCTGATACAATTTCATACGCAATGATACCAAAAGAATATACATCAGATGCTGTACTATACTCCTGGTTGTACAATACCTCTGGTGCTATATATGGTATTACACCACATACTTTATCATTTAGTCCCGTATTAACTAATATTGAAAACCCTAAATCTGCAATATAGGCACTGCGAAAGTTATTTAGCAATACATTTCCACTGTGCAAATCTCGGTGAATAAGATTTTGAGAATGAATTATTTGAAGATCTGAAGCTATACAAAGTAGTAAATTTAGCTTATCTTGCCACTTCATTTTTGATACATAGTAAAGATTTTCACGTAAAGAACCCCGCTTTGCATATTCCATAACGAATACGTAATTTTGAGAATCATTTTCTTTTGATATACCGAAAAATTTTAAAAAATTCGAATTTTTAAGACCAATTCCACAGAGCGCTTTTAGCTTTATGGTTAATAAAAAATATACTTTTAATTATTTGATAAATTTATTGTTATGCTAGCAAAAAATTTGAATAAGTTACCTCATTTATAAATTCTTCACGATCACCTTTTGAGCTATTAAGTAATTTAAGTGCAACAACTCTTTGAACATTTTGTATTTGATCGTACCATCTAGCAGAATATACTGTTCCAAATCCACCTTTTCCTATATATGCAATTTCGTTAAGTTCATTGTAAGGTATCCATGACAATTGGTAATTATTTTCAATCAAGATTTTTTTCAAATCATCATCTATTTCAGAATTATGCGACCATTCTGTAGCTAATAAAACCAAGTGATTTTAGAATACATCATTATATCCCAAATAAGCTTTCAATAGAATAGGTGGGCAATGTAATATGTGTCACTAATGATTAATTTTCACTGTCATGTGGTAATTAATCGAATGCGCAACTACCCTAGCAGAAAAACATACATTTTGATACTCCAACGCTTGCTGATGCATCTAAATGTACCCTAAATTTTTATACTTTCTTGATAGCAAAATATATAATAATTACATGGCATAAATAGTGAAATTGCACTATATACTGTATATGGGATTGATTAAATAGAAAACAAAACTTTTAATGAGTTTTTTAAAAACTTTAAATAAGGATAACTTAACAAAAATTTAATCAAATTAAAAATCTAATCAAATTAATTATACATTAATTATACGAGTTTGTAAATTTATTTTAAAAAATTTTCTTAAATTTGGTCAAGTTTCTGTTAGGTTATTCTTGTTTAAAGTTATTATAAAAAATTGCTTGGTTTCTATTGACTCACCCCACAACATAGGGTATATTTAAATGTATCAAAGAAGTAGGTACAGATGCATCAAAAAATGTATGTTTTGTCACCATAAAAATTTCATGCTCACGTGAAATTTGTGTGGTGCAAGCCAATCGTCGTTCGAAATAAGGTGTAACAGAACACGATCTAGAAAATTCAAGCCAAACGTCTCTTATCAAAAATAGGGTTCGGTTAAATTTAGGTAGGGCAGGGTTACCCTTTTGATGCAACTGGAGTATTTTATATAGAATATCAAGAATGCAATTTATATGATCATACGGGATCTCGGCTGCGTGAGTAACAAAACCAAAAAAGAAAATCGAATTTGTAAATGAGTGCTCGAGAGGGAAAATCAGTAAGTAAATATTTGGATCCTAAAAAATTATGGTTACTTTCAGTAATATAACAAAATGCCGATCATAATTTTCTTAGGGTTCAAATTTTTATTTACTAATGTTTCCTCTCGAGCACTAAGTGCGTAAAGATATATTTATGGTTAGGACGTTAGCATTAGAGATTATAGCAATAGATTGTCACGTTTTAACTGCTGCACCGAGGTCGATTTAGACACTGGTTTTTGAGTATTTTCGTTTTTTCGCACGTGCCCTGAATGCTCTCTAATTGGCTATTTCCTTTTAGGGTTTGTGTTACTCGCAATAATTCCGTAACAATGTCAAAATCCCGACAAGTTTGCCTGCATTAGGTTAGGGTTAGTGTTAGTTCCGGTCAACTTTTGTCGGGATTTTGTTTGTCGGAAAAGTGTTGTCGGGAAAATGATAGACCCATTACGTTTACGTATGTTAATGAAATGCAAATGCGAAAATGCGACATAAAATTTCGCCGACAACAATTCACCGGCATGTTAGTTTCCATTTCACTGACAGTTTATTCACCGAAACTCATTTCATCGTTAGGATCAGGTTAGAATTAGAGTTAAGGTTTGT